TCATCAGATACATGGTCGCTAATGGCAACCAATAGTTCGGTGCAACCACCTGCTGTGACAGGTCATACGTTAACGAATATAGACAAAAAGTGGCTGTACTTATTCGGAGGAAAATCTCAGGAGATCTCAACTCTAGATACTATTTATAGAATTCAGATACCTGGAGCCAACCAGTGGGAACAGGTTAAGATTAGGGGAGGTAACTTTCCCCCACGTAGATTAGTCGGTCATTCAACAGTATTTCATCAGGAATCTAGATCACTGATTGTGTTTGGGGGATATTCTCAAAAAAATGGACTTGTGAGTGAACGAACACGACAGATGCACATGTTTAATATTGATGATGGATTTTGGTCGGTGATTCATAATAAAAACTGGGAGGAGCCATCTTTACCCTATCAGCGAGCGTTTCATTCGGCAGTAATCATGGGAAACTATATGGTAGTGTATGGTGGTAATACCCACAAACATCATCAATTAGAGGTTTGCTACAATGGTGATTTATATTTATATCATCTAGGATGTCATGTCTGGTATAATGACACTATGGGTTTGTATTCTTTCTACTCATCTCATGCTCTTAAAATCTGGAGCCTATTCTTGAAAAAATAAACTTAAAAATGATTTTAATATTTCAGTTATCTTATTGGTTAATGACTAATAAGACTAATGGATCTTTGCCACATCTTGTGTTCTTCAAGAGATTGTAAAGAGGTTTCCTAAATTTGTTATGCGTATCAGAGACACTGATAGCATCAATTTGTTCCATTCCAATTTTCAGTCAGAAATCTGCAATTCCTGCAATTGCACTAAAACTAAGTTTTTGATGAAATCACTAATTGCGAAGGGCCTTCTGTGATACAAATATATTTTGTGATTAGTGACATCATCAAACACTTAGTTTTAGTACCGTACATTACATAATTACAATGGCTCAGACGGAAAATATCAGAAAATAGAAAAATTTCTATCAGATTACTGAGATAAAAAATAAGAACTATTTATTCCTTATTTGGTGAATATTCA